TATCAGGATGCGACTCTGTTTCGTACGTTTGACTTCCCGATCCATGATTTCGACAGGTTCTTCCACAAAATGTAGACCCTCGCCTAATTCGATCTCATCGAGAGGAATCACAAGTGTCTCATCGGACAGACACTTCTTTAGGTTCGACACGTGGAAGACAGGATGGATGTTGCTGAGCTCTCGTGGTAACTGGAGTTTGTATGCTACGGGACCGATCCTAGCAAGGATCTCAAATGGTCCAATGTACCTTGGGTTTAGCTTTCCACGTTTTCCGAAACGTATCATGCCTTTCCAGGGCGAGACCTTCAGAAGGACGCGGTCACCGACCTGGAATTCCAAGGGTTTTCGTCTCTTATCGGCGTAGCTCTTTTGTCTATCTCGGGAGGCTTTCAGTCGTTCTCGGATTTGCACGATCTTTTCAGTCGTCTCTAGGATAATTTCAGGACCAGTGAGACTGTTGTCAGGGACTTGACCCTTGACTAGCTGCGTGTCACCCACTTCAGCCCAACACAGAGGGGATCTGCACTTGCGGCCATAGAGGGCTTCAAACGGCGCAACCTTGATGCTGGTATGGTAGCTGTTGTTATAGGAAATTCAACCAAAGGAAGATGAGTGTCCCATGACGCGCCGAAGTCGATGACGCAGGCCCTTAACATATCTTCCAATGTCTGAATTGTTCTCTCACTCTGTCCATCAGTCTGCGGATGATAAGTAGTGCTCATATCCAATTTAGTTCCAAGAGCCTTTTGTAGTGATTGCCAGAATCTCGAGGTAAACCTGCTATCTTGGTCGGAGATAATGGATACAGGTACCCCATGAAGGCGAACTATCTCTTGAATGTAGATCCGTGTGAGTCTCTCCATCTTGAAATTTTCTTTGATTGGCAGGAAGTGGGCGGACTTCGTCAACCGATCGACAATTACCCAGATGGCATCGTGCCCACTAGGAGATTATATAACTACACGCTGACGCTGATAAGGCTTGAGGCATTGGTGTTGATGTTGATGTTGACGTTGGCGCTGGCAGTTAGCATATAGAGTATTTGAATCATTAGATCATAAGGTGTGACCTTATAGCCTTGCTTCTTTTTCAATTTATGGATTGTAGAATAAAGTACCTATACGATGAGATATGGACATAAAGAAACAAATTGATTAAAAATAAACCAATCCCCGTACACTCCTCCAAGAGGGGTGTATGGCCCGATTTTCTCACTATGGGACATGCTGACTCATTCCTAAACTCGGCCTTGGTCAAATTCAAGCGTAGAACACTTAAATGACCCTTAAATAGTACCAGAAATCGACAAAACAAGTTAAATATTGATTGAATTGACTAAGTGTACAGGATTGAAGTTTCCTGGTTGTCACATCATCCCCCCGTTAGAGGGAATTTCGTCCCGAAATTCAAGAATAAAGCACAATCATGAACTTGGAAAGAGATGGGGGTACTTCTGCTTCATTGAATCCTTGCGCTCCCAAGTGAATTCAGGACCCCGCTTGGCATTCCAGCGGACTTTCACTGTCAGGATGCGACTCTGTTTCGTACCCTTTGTAACATGTTGAGCAAAGGGTTGCATTCATGAATACTCGTTATCAATTCAGGAAGTACATATAAATTATAATAGGTATAATTTATGATTCATAAAACATTAATTTACGATTCAAGTATACTAGAGTACATTGTTTTACAAGAACAAAGGTTTGATTTAAAACTATTCAAGGGTATACATCTTTCAGATACATGTTCAGAATACTAATTCAAGAACATACTTTCAGATACATGTTCAGAATACTAATTCAAGAACATACTATCAATCATTTATTTTAGAATGATTGGGTTTTCATAACTATTATACATGTAACGTTTATATGCTTTTTATGAGTCAATTGATACAGGTTGTTTAATTCATTTAAACAATATAGTAAAGTCCTGACATTATAACCAGAATCTCCAGCGGGGGATCGAAACAATGTGTGTATAGATCTATATTGGGATTGACAACCCCGCACTCGGACTGCTTGCTACAGTCAGACATACACGCCTATGAGTGACAGTTGTTATCAACAGCTTTCAACGCATTCATAGTGTTGGGTCAGGCCATCTAGTCAGTATGGTTATAATAACTCATATAAAAGATATTAACAATACGTTAATGTATAATTAACTAAACTTTTGTACATTTTCAAAAGTACTAGTTTACAAGATACAGATTACAGTATTACATTACAGTTTACAGTAACAGTTGATGAAATCAAGCACATTCTCGGATACAAGTTTACAAAAGGATTACAAATACAGAACACTGGTTTACAAATAGAACAGTTTCATGTAACTAAAACTACATTTCATATACAGTAGAAAATATAGGATTTTCTGGAACAGTTTACATATTCAAGAAACAGAAAACACTCTTTCAAACATAAATACTTATGCACTCACTCAACTTTATGTTGATACTCTCTTTTTCAAATTACTTGTATTCTCAGGGAACCAGTAGACAGGTACTCCCCGAGCTTTTTGAGAAGATGGAGCTATTTATGTCTTGTCTTCTTCTTTTGTATAACTATTTGGTTTCAGTATACTATGATGAAACACATGTAAATACTTATACTTTTTAAATACAGTGGTTGTTTGTACTCTGATTACTATAATGCATATGTTGTGATACTACAAATGAAGTCATCCACCCCCAGACGTTTCCGCCGTCTGGTTTGGGGGTGTGACACTTGCTAATTTGAGGATCCTTTATTTAATCAAGAAATTAGCCAACTAATCATTACACATACATGTAAACACATGAATAAAAACATACAAGTAGCAAGAAGATGTTAAAATATAAAACATTCTCATAAAGATTCGATAACAAGTTCATGGAGTTCTTCAACATTCAACCAAACATTCAAGTGATTTCACCAAAGTCAACCAAGATTAGTTTATCCTGGCATGTCTAAACTCAAGAAAACAAAATAAAAGTAGATAGTACCAAACATGTAGCAAGATTCAACAGTAAAAAGAAGATGTTCTTCAAGTGTTCTTGGCCTTCAAAGTCTGCAAATTTTCCAGAGAAAATGCTCTAAAATTGGAGGTGTAGAAGAATGAAAAAGATGCACACCAACCTTCCCCATATAGCACAAAAGAAAGATTTCTGAAATTGCCCCTGCAGAGCTGTGCGCGACTTGTGTGTTGTTGTGTGGGTGGTGCCTGGAATGGGCTCTTTTGCGATTTGGGCCTCCAATGACTTAGCCTACTGGCACAGAACAAGTCCAATCAGCTTGTAGTCCGTTGTTCTTCAAGTTTTCTTCAATTTAAGCCTAATTTGTCTTCTCCGAATCACCCAAAGTTCGTGTACTCGCCCGATCAATAATTTTCGCTTGCTCGAATATTCTTCTGTCTTCGTTTAAGTAAAAGACCATCTTCTTTAAGTTTCCATAATCAACAAGCACAAGAATTACATCGTCTCCATTAATCTTCTAGACCAAGATTATTTATCGTCCTCCAAGTCCATTTGCTTTTCACACGTCTCGAACATTCCTTCTCCGTTAATCTTCTTAAAATCTGCAATTATGCTCAGAAAACTAGAAAGTACCCGAAATAGTTATAAATTAACAAAAAGGAAACTATGCATGATGATTAGCTAAATTATGAATGAAATATGCTAAAATAAACTATAAAAAGAAGTAAATAAAATGAAATTATCAGTAAATAAGCGAAAAATTAAGGGAAAAATGATTGAACTGGTATGGACATGTCCTTAAGAGGCCATCATCGATGATGGTAAGGAGGGTATAGTCAGTTAAAATCAATGGTAAGCGGAGGATGGGACATCCTAGAAGGAAGTGAAAGATGATGTGATGCTAGATATGGAGGGGTTTGCTCTTTCCAATGACATGACCTCAAATATGTGGGGTGGAGGCTAAACATCGGGGTTAATGTGTAGCCTAGCTTGTTGATACTATTTGCTCATTAGCATGTATCTTGGTTTATACATGTTTTGTTCTGCTGATCATATTTGATTTACTTCTTATTGTTTGCTTCGTTTGCAGGTTATCAGATTTAGAGACTTTTATTCTAGTTTATTATTTATTCCGTCTTACCACTCACTTTGATCTACTATTTGTGTTTACCTCCTTTGCTGGTTAGTGGTTGTTTAATGACGAAGATTATCTTGAGTCGCGGTCGTTTTACCCCCTTATCCATACGGCGGTCGACATCTACCTTCTCGTACCCATTCTAATGAGATACACAAGGATTGTTTTTGTTGTTCTTGTTATTCCTTTGAATTATATTATCTTATGTTTATGTTTATTTGACACAAATAACTAGTTTGAAAATCATGAATAATTCTGGAACTCAACGAAAAAACAAGTTTGAAAATCATGAACAAATTCGAAATTTTCAAACCATATTTTCCACTTCTTTTATAAGAAAAAATAGTTTTGAAAATTAGAAATTTCTGAATTTGTAGTTATTTCTTAAGTGTCGAAGTTATGGTCATTAATTAATTATTATGTAAAACTTTTTAATATGATCATTGGATGATACCTTATTTTCTTATTATCTCTATATAACCTTTTTATTATGTTTTTTATGGACCTATTTACACATACCCACTATTTTATTCTTATATATACATAATTTTTCCAAAGGAGTACTTGAACCTTCAAATTTTAGTTAAGTAGCATTTATCCGTTAACTTTTAATACGGATAGGCAGAAGAGCCTTAATTACTATGTTTTATTTATGTATATGAACAATAAAAAAAAAAAAATTTATAGGAGAAGCCGAGAAGAAAACTTCATGACAGAAAAATTCCAATACAAAGGCATGTCTCTGAAATTTTTTCAGAAATTTTTTTCTTTTCTTTCTGACAATGGACTAAATTCCCCGATATACCCCACATCAGGTTCAATTCAAAGAAGAAAATTTAATCAAATCGAGAAGGGTAGAATTACCCTGGGCTTTGGTAGAAGGGTATGTAATTTGACATCACTGCAGAGTCAAAGATGCAACGGGGATTGGTAAAATTCAGCATCCGAGACGGCTGAGTTTTCTTCATCTTCAGTTGGAGCTGGCAAGTTAAGATCAATAATTACCAAATTACCCTGGGCTTTGGTAGAATTAACCAAATTTACACTTGCATCGCCTTTACCACCAAAAGAGTCTGAAGCAGTTGTTGTTGATGAACCCAATACATGTGACCTCTTATGCCCACCCAATGCTTGACCCGACCCGAACACCCGATAACAATATGGGCATTCATGTAATTTTCCATCATCCTGAACTACATTCTTCCTAGACTTGTTGCCACCGCCGGAGAAAGCGAAATCGTTATCGATTCTCCGGTGACTCGTTTTATGACCGCCCAGTGCTTGGAACGAGTCGAACACTTTGTCGCAAGTCTCGCACTGGTACTTGGACCGATTCTGGCTCGGATTAGACTCGCCTGAGTTAATGAAGCTCAAGACATCACGTGAAAGCATCATCAAACACAGAGCAACATCCTCCTCGGCAGAATTAATATGATCAGATACCGAACTCATGATCACCGGTTCCAAATCAGTACTCAAACTCGGTTCCTTCACCGAACGCGTAACCCTGGCTCTCTTCGATCTCTTCCGAGTCGGATTCATCTTTCGGTTCACCTCCGTCTCACTCTCCCTGTCTTCCTGAAGCACAAACCCGGACCCTCCGTGATCCAAAAACTCCGGATCCGCCACTCTGAAGCTTCTCTTAGGATTCTCCCTTAATCCGTACATCAAAATCTTCTCCTGGTCTTCGTCATCCTCCGAATGATCACAAGACAGTGAAGCTGAAGTAGTTGAGTCGGTTGTGGTGCGACTACTGAGTTGCAACGCATGAATTGGTTTCTTCCATGGAATGGGTAATGTGACTAAATGAGATCTCATATGACCACCCAAAGCTCTGCCATTAGAGAACACCTTATTACATATCTTACACATTCTTCCCTCCATGGAAGAGATCCTACACGCAGTGTGTGTGTGTAGTATGTGTGTGCTGTTTCTCTCTGTACAGGTACAGAGGTGCGATCCTTGTTTCTCTCTCTAGCGGTGTAGCATGAGATTGATGAAGGGGAGGAGTAGGTGACAAGCATTCCTCCGCTAAAAAGGAGGCCTTTAATTATATAAAATTAAAACTTTTACCCTTCAGCTTTGCTATGACTTTCAAAACTACCCTTCACTTAAGACTAAATTATTATTACCAACTATAGTCCTTCTAGCTTTTGAAAAACTACACGACGGGTCCCTAAAATCATTTAATTGCATAGACACCTCAAAATAAAAAAAAAAATAAAAAATAAATAAATAAAAATAAAAAAACAATAACTTTATGATCCTTAAAAATGGATGACATTTAAGGTTTGCTAACCCCTTAATTATCAGGCTTGTTTAAGATGAGTACATTTTGGGCTTTTCAAAAGTGAAAGGCCCTTAAAGAATGCTAAGGTTAGGGGTGAGCATGGTGCGGTTCGGTGCGTTTTTTGGCCAAAACCGAACCGAAAACCGCAACTTCGGTTTTTTGAAATTTAGAAACCGCACCGTTCGGTTTTTATGCGGTTCGGTTTTTGCGGTTTTTATTGCGTTTTTTTGCGGTTCGGTTTTTTTTTTTTGCGGTTTTTTGTTAGTTTTTTTTTTTGGTTTTCATTTTGCCTTTTTACTAAAACTCAAGTAACTCGGCGAGTTACTTTGACTTAGATGAGGAGTGCTAATCATTTATTGGAGATGAACCGATACCACCACCTCTTGGTTTGAAATCAAATTACATAACCACTCATCCAGCATGTTTCTAATGCTTGAACATAATATGAATTTAATATAATATTTGTTTCACATGTACATGCAATAATATCAATTAATGTATTCATAAAAATGATACTATCATCACTAGTACTCTTCACATTTAAATGTTAAAAAATGTCATAAACATTATTTGTTATTGTAAATACTACTGACTGTATGCTTAAAAATATACAATCATCATCTGATAGATAAAATATATATTTATATCTATAGAAAATTTAATTGTCATAAGTTCTTGGTTCTTACAAAATATCAACACTTAATATATATATATATATATATATATATATATATATATATATATATATATATATATATATATATATATACACACACACACATGGTGCGGTTCGGTTTTTTGCGGTTTTTGCAAGACTAGAAACCGCACCGTACCGAGTATTTTCGGTTTTTGCAAAACTAAAAACCGCACCATCGGTTTTCATTTCGGTTTTGGTTTTTCGGTTTCGGTTTATGCGGTTTTTTTCGGTTTTTTTGGTTTGCGGTTCGGTTTTTGCTCACCCCTAGCTAAGGTTATATCTTGTTAATTTTATTATTTTCTTCTCTAATCCTATTTATGGTTATAAATATCTTAGTTCAATATAGTAAACCTTCTACTTCAGGTTGAAGTTTTCTTTATAAAGTTCCCAAAACCTTAGCAACATGTTCATGGTTAACATAATAGGCGGATCTAGTTCATAACAAAGTTTGCATGTCCTTAAATTTTTCGTACATGTATTGATTTTTTAGAAATAGATAAATTATGTATTAGATAGTATGTTTGCATAGCTTAAATAAATATTTGCATATCCATTACTAGTTTGATTTGGTGACAAAGCTATGCATCTATCTTTTATGACTTTTAATTACACTACATTTAAAAAGAATCATACGCTAAGTTTTCACAGAAAAAAGATAAAATATGGACATAACATCTTAAGAAAATGCCTTAATTTAATTCTTAAACTAATTTGGGCCTATAAAACATGTCTTGAGTTTTTTTTGTTATTTATTTATTTATTTATTTATTTTGTAACATTGTTACATTGTATCAAAAAAATAATTTTATATCAATATATACTATTTTTTAAATGTTGCTTCTTATGTTATTCCTAGGATTCTTTTAAAAAAAATTATTTTGGTATCATCGCTTTTATGTTGGCACAATTAAAGTTTCGACTTTGTGGCTTCAAAGAAGTTTGAAATTATTATCTAATTTATTTATTTTCTTTTATCGTTGGTATAACAATATATTTTTTTTGGAAACGATCATTTTATAAAAAAGACCCCCGCAAGCAAGAAGGTAGCTAGGGACCAAATCAATAGTACACACAACAATAAGATCAAGGAAAAGAGAAAGAGGATACAAGCCATTCCTCCGAGTTATAAATTTCACATTTACCCTTACATTTAAGTCTTAGAAAAACTAAGAATTTAATGTTTTCAACTACTTTTGTCGGGTTGTTTGCAATCCCTTGAAAGAGTCATTCATTCCTAGGTTTCCACGGCACCCATAACATATCATAGCAGATTGCGATAAGTCTCTTCCTTCTCTTTGGACATCTTCCCCATTTGACTGCAAAATCAATAAAATTACCCATGTTTTGTATTTCCACTTGATTAATCCCACACCACCTGAATATTTATTACGAACCATACAAGCAAATGGATAACAAACAAGGATGTGATCAGCACTCTGTTGATGGTTTACACATGAGCCGCAAAACGTGGAGTTAACTGGAATACCCCTTTGTGTGAGTGCCACAATAGAATGAATGTGTCCATGAGTCATTCGCCATACAAAGCCAATTACCTTTATAGGCAATATGAATCTATGTGGGATTTATCATTTGTTTATGATCAATCATGTGCCTGAGAATCACAACTTTATACCTACCGTCTGAAGCAATAGGGCATGTCGAGTAGTCCAACCCAGCTTATAACTGAGTGGATGCCACAACTTGTTGTAGGCTCTAAAGACAGTGAGATGGTCCTATATTCAGTGGACTAGACTTCTGGGCCCAATTGAAACCTTGTTCACGTATTATGTCCCTCATTTTAAATCGTTTCTGGACCTCATTTTCGTATAGTACAGGGTATGCCATTTTTAAATTTTGAAGAACCAATCCATACATCATGCCAAAATTGGGTATTCTGTGAATTACTCTGATTTAATGAAGTTTTGCTAAATCTTGATTACCTTGGTTTTATGGAAATGTTATGTATTAACGGTTAATTAATCTAAATATGAAATTTTTTATGTCATTATTTTGGGACGTTTCAAGTTGGTATCAGAGCCTTGGTTTGAGGGATTCGGGCACACTCTCGGGTGTGTCTGAACTCAAACTGAATAGTTGGTTAAGTTTTTCAAAAAGAAATATATTTTTAGAAAGGAATTTTTCTAAAAGAAGAAAGGGTGTGGTGCATGCAATCAGCCAAGCTCAAGTAAGTTTCTCCCAAAATACCCATACATGTTATATGGTATTATTTGATTTATGAATCCATGAATCGCATGTTAGTTAGGGCTAAGGATCTGCTCAGTGTTTGCATTATAGAATGTTAGGAGAGATGCTTTGTATGCCTATTGTATGAGCTTGTAGACTTGCATGCTAGTTCTGATTAGCCAGTGATAGGTTGGCCTGATATGTGATGTTTGGTAGCCTAGGAAGCATGGGATGTTGGTTTGGGTATAATTTGGATGCGTAAGGCAATCAGTAGCGGGAGTGGGAGTCCCTAGTATGAGTTGTAGTGTGTGTGATTGGAGTGCTACTGCTTGAATGCTGCTTGATTTGTGCTTTGTGGAACTCTTAGGTGATGGGAGTGAACTGCTAAGTGGATATGTCAAGTCACATGTAACAAGGATTGAATAATCTCAGAGTGATGGATTTGACCCTATTGCGCAGCTCTTGTCTGAGTCCAACCGTTGTAGGGATGAGTCTCTTACTCGAAGGATTATATAATATTTGTTGCATGTGATTGTATTCATGAGGTGGGTGACTAGCATTATGGGGAGTTCTTCAGCGGCTGATGGCAGGGTGAGGTCGGGAACCTAGGAAAGCCTAGGGATTGCTTCGGTGGGTTTTGTTGTGCTGGGTCGCGAGTGTTTTGTGTATGGATTTGAGAAGGTGACTTAGAGGATTCCGGAGGATTCTTGAGGAAAGTATGGATAGGTGTGGAAGGTAGTATTGGGTTCGTACTACTGAAAGCACATGATCCATACTCGAATCAGAGAGAGTCTTGGAGAATCTAAGAAACCTTTGGGATGAGGATTCTTGGGTATATTCGGATCTTTTACATGTTGTTTCGGTATGGTGTTGAGTACTCAGGAATGGGATTCGGATTTTGGTTCCAGCTCAGTAGCGACTATTGAGTCGATCGATGCGTGGTCGCGGGATTTCATCTCATCGGACATCACTCGTAGCATTTCGGTTTGGATCTTGGTGGTCTTTGGTTCAGCAAAAGAAGGGATTGGGTAGCTATTTGATGGCCATCTCGGGGCCTTTCGGGTCGGGTTTGTGGTAGGGCAGTTGGGGGCTCAATCTGGAGCCCAAAGCTGGTGGATCTCTAGAATCCTTCAGGAATGAGGATCCTGTTGTTAGTTCTTGTCAATTGGGATTGAAGGGGAGTTTTTGCACCATGTCCTCAGGATGGTCTGAGTGACTCAAGATGAGGAAGTCATGATTCCTTCAGATTTTTTTCGGGTATGTCATCTTCTGTCCTCTTCTGCGTTGTTATCGGGAATTTTTTATTGCGTTGGAATTTTGCTGAGTTTGGGTAAGTTATATCTCGGGTGGTTCTCTCCTAGTGTCCGTATTATATTATCAAGGGTTGTGATATGCCATTATGCATGCCAGGAGTCTTCGATGAATCTTCATAGGGTCGTATCTTGTTGAGTGGGTTCAGGGTGTTCCGTTGTTGTTCCGGGTCTTTGCCGGGATCAATTCAGGAGTATTACTTGGAGGATCTTTGGTCAGGGTTACCGGGTTAGTTCTGCAGTGAAGTCAGGTTTTAGTGGTTTTATTGTCTGTCCGGGTATGATCGGCAGTTGCCTATGGAAGAACTTTTGGGTTCAAGAACTACCGTTGCTTGGAGAGGAGCGGTAGCAGGAAGATGGTGGTGTCAATTTTGTGAGTTGTTTGATCTTTTGATGTGTCAGG